CTATTTGTGTTTACAAAATTAAATCTATGAATATTATTAATATTATTCAAAGTCTTAAATTATTTCTTTTTACATTAATAATAACTAAATTTCATACTTTATAGATCTGTTATTAGGTAACATTTAATTAATATAATTTAATTTATTTTTGGCTTTAGAGTGCTGCTGTTACTATTTCTAAGGCTCTTTTTTTATAAATAGAACCTCTAATTGCCTCTCGGGCACGCTAGTGTCAAGTCAAAATGGTACCTACTTTAATTGCTTAAACTAGGTCTAGTAGTAGCACTAGGCTCGGCGTTTCCCACCGGCCCAGGCGACCACTCCTCCGAAAATATCCTCATGATGGGCGAGTCGGAACCCGCTGGTCAGCGGCACTCGCATCCTTCCTGACATACAGTGTAAACTCTTTATAGCGAGTTTCAAGAACCGAGCATTTTTATTCGTTATAGAGAGTTTCGTAACAGGGAGGGAGGAATTAATGTATGGGTATTGGATTAAACCAAATAAATTTATAGCATTTTTACGTTTTAGGGAGATTTTCTTTATAACGAATGACATTATAAAGAGTTTACACTGTATTTGACAATAATTATGTGACTACATAAATCGTTTATATTTGTTTAATTTCTGTTCGGTATAGGCAAGGATATTAAACATTACCTACTCTTTGAAAAGTAATATTTTATTAAAATAATCTATTTATAGGCTTTCCGATAAAAGTTTCAACAGTGAAATCAGATGTTATTTATCACAAAACGCCTTATAAAAAATAAAAGCCAAATCCACTTTAGAGAGAATTGAAATGTCAATTGCGGTTGCTGTTTCCACTATATTAATACTTAACGCTCTAAATACATATAAGGTATATAAGCAATATGACCACTGATTTCATAGTAAAGTTTTAAATTACTAGCTCTTACTACTGTTTATAATCTGAAGAGCCTGGTCACAAGTGGTCTGGCGAAAACTTGAAGTTGAAAGCGTTTGGTGTTCCATTGTCACGTAAGAAAACGCCTGGTTGCAAACATCGCTGATGCATTTAATTTTAAATATTATATACATGCTTCTTTTCCAATAAAATATAAAAATATTACGTACCAACGATACATAGGCTATATTTTTAAATATGTACTGTGTATCTGTATATCTATCTGTGTTTCTGTTAGTCAATTTATTGTCATTCATTGACACAACATTCTTAAGGTGCGCTTACACGGGCAACTAAAATTGCTCAATTCCAGTCAATACTCGTCAACTATGACGTCACGACTTCATCAAGCAATTTACGGCAACGGCAACAAGCATCAATACAGCGCAATACAATATTGAGCGATATGGCGCAACTTCATCAACTAGGCAATACTGTCATACACGAGCATTTCAGTTTTCGCTCGCTATGGACGACATTGTTCTTGCTGCGGCGGCTTGTAGCGCTTTTTTATCATTAATCAAAAACAAAAAAGAAAGAAAAGGAATAGGCGTATCTGGGTGCGATCGTTTTTGGCAAAGAGGACAAAATTTTTATTATGTAAAGAATTAGATGATATATTATTCAAAAACTTTACTAGAATGTCACGAACAGACTTTGAATTACTTTTGAATAAAGTAATTAGAAATTATTATTATTTAGACTTCTCGCTCTCCCCGCAAAAGCAAGACGGCAAGCCGCAAAACAAACAAGTGCGAATGAGACATATACAAAAATTGCTAGGAATTTCCAAGTCCATTGGATATTCGTCAATTCGTAAGCGCACCTTTACACGAGGTACTTATTGCCTAGTTGATGAAGTTGCGCCATATCGCTCAATATTGTATTGCGCAGTATTGATGCTTGTTGCCGTTGCCGTAAATTGCTTGATGTAGTCGTGACGTCATAATTGACGAGTATTGACTGGAATTGAGCAATTTTAGTTGCCCGTGTAAGCGCACCTTAAGCGCACCTTTATATTTCGTAATCAGTGGCGCTAAAACTCTTGGGTTTGTGCTTAATACAGAAATAGTTGCACACGCCTTCGATTTTTACCTTCCTCACGATACTTTTCTTCACCGTATGAGTTATGTGATGCGCGTATATGTCAGGTTTTATGATGTTTTGTATATGCATCTATGTAATAGCAGCAAGCGCGTTGAACTCTTACGCTTAACCTATAACGCTGAACTAATTTGTCAACAGGTCAGCGCCGGGGTCCAAGTCCAGCGTTCATCTTTCCTACATCCAACTTCTATTACTGTTGACATTTCAGTGGGAAATTAAAAAGGATTTTGTTTTGATTCGCGTTTCAGATATTTTTTTTAAATTAACCAGATTTTTTTACTCCAATTTACAATGAATAATTAAAATATTCGAATACTAAATTGTTGGATAATTTACGCTTAGTTTTACAATAATATTCTTACAGTCTGCCAAGATGACAAGACACAACGTCCTCAAAACTATTCACTATCATAAAAGAGGCGCTGGACGGGAACCGGTGGAAGCAGATAGTCCGCTCCGGATGCTTTAAAGAGAGAGCCAGGGTGACTAGATGGTGTTTAATAATTTACGTGACATGCCAGTATATTACGTGAACAAAGAGCAATTAAAAAAGAAACAATAACATATTCAGTAAGAAATCTAAACATCTTAGCGACCAGTTTAAAATCACAAACTCAATGGAGTAATAAACCCAGACACATCTAAGAAAATACGCTTTTTATTCCCGACGCCAAAACGACGTACGTATGTTTGGTCATAGCTTTTTTGCATTCCCCTTCCTTTTATAATAAAATCTCCCGATCTACCTATTCTAAAATAGACAAACTATCCAGATATAAACTCACAAAAGAGATGAAAATTATGCTAGCCGATTCTGATTTCGATTCTAAAGAAGCTACCACATGTTTTAGCACGACTAGGCCTTAGCCAAGGTTACAAAAACTAACCTACACAGCGCACACAAATATATTCACATACTCATACACTCACGCATACTTTCTTACACGACTTTTATTTGATGAGATTTAGCATTAAAACTACTTTTTCTGTAATAATTTATCATTTTTAACTTATATTCGTTTTGTTTTAAATGTGCACCATGTAATCTAGTCACCCACAACACCCCACACTCCCTAGTGTGGGGACTAGCGTTAGATCAATTTTGTCTTTATTGACTTAATCATAAAGTTTGATTATTATAAATAAATACGGAAATCTATACTGATGGCTTGGTCTCTACCTCTCTATCGAAGGTAAAAACCTAGAGATTAGACTACTTATCCTTCTTTGTAACTAATAAGGTGAACTTTCAGTAGATAGCCATAGAGCGATTTTGAGATTAAGTTTTCATTTAGCGCTGCGGATAATGCGATAACTACATACACTAACTAAATTAGTCTCAGTTTAATTGTCACCTTCTAAACTTATTATACTAAAATCTTAAAGGCCTGAAAGTTACAAATAACTTAGTAATCAAAAATAAATATAATAAAAAAAACCCTATGATTTTTATTTCAGCACCGTGAGATTTTCCTCGTAATATTCATTTCCAGTGTAAGAATGACATTGTGGAGAGTCTGATATTGACTATGTTGACGGTCACATGATGTATAAATTAAGATTATTTTATTAAAATATGGAACTGTTAATCCAATTTTATCAATTCAGTGATTCAGTCTAAAATACCATGATAAAATACTTTTTACTTCACCAACTTAACGATTCCAAATAATAACTTTTATCAAACTTGATTAATTGAATGGTATTTCAAGAGAAAAATTAAAAAATGTAAATGATAAAAATATGCATGATTCAATTCACACACTTATTGTTCCTTGGAAATTGCATTGACACTTTATTAATTATTATGAAATAATTATAAAGAGCAAGTTTTTAATATTCAATATAGCAGGAAATACCGCCTTTGTGGGAGGCATTATCTAATGACGCCGTGAGGAAGACGTTCGCAGAATAAACTATTATTAATTTATCGTATCTTGATACTTGGCACGTTGTGGTTTTTGTGGCAATACTTAACTACTTTATATCCGGGTTCAGCGTGTATTTGTTGTGCCATAATAAACAATAACTATCGAAGGTGAACCTATAATCATAACATAAGATCATGTATCATCACGGGGGCATAACAAAGACATATTATATCTTAAAACGTAACAGAACTACTAAATTATATAATTATATTATAAGTTTAAACTTGAAATCGAGTCAAACAGTTAATATTTACGTCATGTAACTTGAATTACGTATTGACATTATTCCCGAATTAAAGAACTATTAAAAAATATTGCTGATAAGAGAACAGATTGGTAATTAATTATAATTTATATTTATTTTACGAATAAGGACATATTTACCCGTCTTTCACGCAATTATACTCTTAGTGAGAAACTCTTTCTGTACAAAACTGTGCAAGGCATTTGTCCTGATCGACAATATCTTGAAATAATTGTTGGCAATACTGAGTCGGTACTCATGATGCTTACTGATGTGGATGTACAGGAATGTGCTGTATTTACGTGACTCAAAGTTATAAGGAATAAGGTTTAATACAATAATAGAAAAGACAGCTAAAAGTAAGAGGTGAATTTAGCGCACATAAAATTATATTTTTGATTATAGACATTTATTATCTAGAAAGGCAGTATCTTGGTAACATGTCATCTAATCGTCATGTATTTTGATGGAACAAACAAGTAGGATGAAGAAAAAGAGAACAACTAATATATTTCTTTAATTATACTTTTTATTACTAAGTACAGTAAATTGAGCGAAATACCTTCTTAAAGGTTATCTACTAATACGTGATGACAAAACATTTTATATATCTACATGGATCATTAAGTACTCATTAGTCTTAGTGGTAATGCATATTTGGTAACACATAAATTACACGGACACAAGAACGTTATGGACTAAAGCCAGATGCGTTTATACCAAATTATTTCAAGTTGGTAAATAAATCCAATTTACATATTTCACATCCGTCTTATCGTTGCTCCGATGCTCATTTTCGTTTTCCATAACTGCAAGAAATAAATTAAAGTTAATTAATTTGTGTTGATCAGCGTGAATTAATTATGTTACATCATCATAGCTGAGATAATACTATGATTAATCTTTATATTCTGAGAAATGATTACATATTCATGTTGTTAATCGCGAGTATATCGGGTATGAACTGAACAAGCCCTTGAAAAGGGTATGTTAATGCCCATCCAAAATAAACTGATACTGGGCATTATATGATCCATTGAAAAGTATATGTTTGCATCATATAGTACAATGTATGTGTGTGACTTCAATTACGGTTATAGGCCAACACCGTATTCACAATCGGCGGTTTTTCTATATGCGACCATTATTTTGCATGATTAAAAGAAGAATAAAAAAAGCCTAATATTAGGTATAACACAAGTAATTATTTACGTATTCACTGTGGCAGTAGCTGTAGCTGTGGCTGAAGCATGTGCAGTTCCCCCACAAGCACCCCCACCACAGCCGGTTGGGCCGCCTTGGTTGTATCCATTGTTGCCGTAACCTCCGCCATGGTTGTATCCATTGTTGCCGTAACCTCCGCCATGATTTAAGCCTCCACCATCACCATAACCTCCACCGCCACCGCCACCTCCTGCAAATAGTAAGACCTCTTTTATATAATAATCAGGTGTATCGTGTTTATTTTTTATGTTTAGAATCACACTTTACACAACGTAATCTAGTGAGATTTAAGACATAGTTAATGGTTCGAGTTCGTGACGTTGGCTCGCAGATTTTGAAGCTGCAATTTTTTTTTAATTTTTTTTTGATACAAAAATTACTTTATTTTAAGCAAATTGTTAAGTGTGTATACGGAGACTATAGCCCAACATTACTAGAACTGTCATAAGAGTTCTTTATAAACCAGGAATTGCCAGGTCACGTTTGAAGTGGGACGTATACGTTTGCATATTATCGCATGTGTTGCACCTTATGTGGCCATTTGGGAATAGTAATAACGTTACTTGATATGAAACACACTACACGTGCCCTGACTTTTATTTGTATTTGGGTATAATTCGTTCTATACAATCAATTATACAGACGTAAATTTACAAATACTAATATTTCTTACCTCCGTATCCACCGCCTCCGCCACCGCCGCCGCCGCCGCCCCCACCATAGCCACCACCATAACCACCGCCATAACCACCGCCATAACCACCGCCACCGCCTCCTCCATATCCACCGCCATAGTTTCCATATCCACCATCTCCACCATAGTGCCCACCGTGACCACCATGACCGCCGTGGCTATGAGCTAGAAACAGATTATAAATTAGTTTCTAACTTTATTTAATAAAAATGCTGTATTCTTAGAGCGTGCGCCTTTCAACCCTGCGTTCGAATCAGACCTGTGCACCAATACGCTTTTATTACTTGCTCGCATGGTGAAGGAAAACTTAATACGGCAAAATAAGACACCGGCATGCCTCAGGCCCAATAATAGACGGCGCATGTCAATCACAAAAGACTGATCACATATTTGCCTATTACGAGTAATTCTCCATTGAAATGTTACAATTTGAGGGCCAAACTGAGCATTTGTTAGAGGACGCATTTCATTTATGGAACATATAGAGGGGGTCAATACAAGCTTAAACCCAAGTTTGTGGGGTTGGCGCCCTTATCCCCCGGCCGCCATCTTGGAACGAGTGAAAACACGTTTTCGCTATATCACCTAAACTATCGTACAAAAAAAATTGAGTTGTCTATTTCAAGACCTAGAGGCTGTAGCGCCACTCATGGTTGTTTCAGATTTAATTTTTTATCTTAAAAATAATGCCTTTGTGTCTTTAAGGAAGCCAAAGAATAAAGATTCTTTCGATACCATCAACTTGAATGTTTACTTCGAAACAAATAGAATATTTAAATTTACATGAATACTTTAAATATAAACTCTCTTGTATCTTTAAAGTTAATCTTGCTTTTTATTGCTTTTCGTATTCTCTGCGTACCATAACCTTGTGAATCATTGCTATTGTCCTAATAATAATCTTGTTAAACGACACGGATGCTTCATTAATGTTAACATTTTATTACAAATTAAGAAAATAATCTAATGTTTTCTAGAATATATATTTCGCTGGCTAGGCCAGTTATATTTGGAGTTACTACTGTCGAGGAAGACATTAAAAGATCAACCAATATTCTTTTTTTTCCACTAGATTTCTAGAAATTCGTTGCATTAGGGACTAATCGAAACTATATATTAAATAAATAATAAGCATTAAAAGAATAAGCTTTTAATACTTAATATCTATTTTGTGGACACAAAAATATGAAAGTTGTAGTTTCTTTATATTACTGATATAGGAAAATAAGAAATAGGCACTTACTATGCTCTTTTATGACTTTAACGATAACGGTCTTCTGTGGCTCCTGGTATCCGTGACCATAGCCTCCATCGTAGCCGCGTCCTTCACTGTATCCCCCACCGTAGCCCCCGCCGTAACCACCTCCTCCACCCCAGCCATGTCCCCCACCGAAGGAAAACCCAACGCCGTGGCCAAGCAGGAGCTTTCCGAGGGTACGCTTTTGCCTATTTAACCTTCCAGGATGATCTTGGTCTTCTAGTTTCTACAACATAATATTCTTATGAAACAAGGCTGTGTTTTGACTTCAGGTACCAGTGTAAACCTTAAATGCTTTTGCATAATAGTAAATAATAAAAAAAAGAAGTTATATTAAACGAATTATTTGAATTTAAAATTACATTTATTAATACTTATTCGCAAATAAATATTATCGAAAAATTTGGCTTAAAGCACACACAAATAATTATTCTCACTTAATTGGTTAATATACAGAACTAATATTGTTGTGGTACCTACAATTACAAATATCGTTAAAACTTTCTCACACGGCGATTGTGTAAAAATATGTTTCAATTAAAACTCAAAAAAGCTTTAATCAATTATCATTAAGGTTTTATACAAAGAGGTATCCAAAAAATACCTACCTTAACATATATAGGTTGTTGATTGTAATTTAGTGACTTAGCTTCTGGCTCTCTTAACTTTTGGGAAGAGTTCCTCTGGGACAACAGTATTAGTATAGGGAACTGCCTGGATCTGTCAGTAGCGCGTGTCGGGGAGTCTTTGGGAGGCGCCAACACCGGTAGCACCATCACTACCCTATCATCAAGGTGGTTGTCATGAAGGGAGGCGCCAGCGGTGGCGACAAACGCCACCAACGTCACTGCACACCAAAGGTCCATCGCGGTCACTGCCAGCCGCCGCGCGTCCGACCTATTTATACAACACTATTGGACACCACACACGTCACTGAGCGTTTCTCACACTCACGTCATCACTTACAAGATGACGCTTGAAAACAATGATGGAAAAAGTCCGATAATTATATTAACAGAATAAAAACAGGATTTTCATCTCTAATATCCATCCATAATTATTTTATTCATTCATATATTTTTGGTTTCCCCAAATCCAATCAATGTTCACACTTCAAAAAATCGATCGAATCTCTCAGTTATATATTATTTGAGTTTGTTTTTATGTTTATCAACACCCAAGGCAGATAGATTGAAAAAAAAACTGCTTTGGAGGACAAGAGGAAAAATTTAAATGTCGCTTAATTAGGAACAACGTTGAAAAATTTAATTTTAGTGAGATTAGTGATATATGTGGTTGAATGTGTGTCAATAATCAACATGTTAGACTTGTCTATTTGTGAAGTCGTTACACGTTCGGTTGGATATTCCCGCATACCGGCCTGTGTGATGTTCCATCTACAGCCTGTTGTAATAATATCGTAGTGAGTTTACAAAGGTATTTTGTGCAGTAGGAGCTTGTGATGGAATAAGAAAGACATGGGATTTATTTTAGTTCAATATTTTTTTATACAGCCCTGCGATTCTGTAACTCACTTTTTGAACTCACACAGCGGTTTTCGCATCGGCGGTCGCTCTCAAATCAGTCGTGAAGCAGTCATTTTATGATTTGGCATTCTGAAAAGGCAGTTTATTGTTAATCAGAATTGACCGCTGTGTGAGTTCGAAAAGTGAGTTACAGAATCGCAGGGCAGTGCTATTATTATTTTATAGGTCGATGTACCATTAAACTTTAATCTATTAAATTATGTTACGCTATTTTTAATGTTAATTATGTTATTATGCTGATTTTGCGGAAAAGCGGAATCGGAAACAAAATAAATGTGTTATTTCAATCTATTTTTAAAAACTACTCTCCCAAAAATCTTTTATACTTCTTTTTGAAAGCATATTGTTCCAATTAAATTAATTCCCTAAATTACAATAAGGTCAAATACTGACTCGATTTGATCCTTTTAAAAAATAAGTTCGAATGTTTAGTTAAACAATAAAATATTAATAACCTCTCTTTTTTCGCTTCTCTGTCAAATTGTGGTTACGATGTGCTGAGTACTTTATTTAAAACGGTGCAATTTGACTTATTTACATTTTTGTTTGTTGAATAAAGGTCGGAGTGTACATTGAACCAGAAGCAGGCGTTTTAAAATTATAATGCCTTTAGCTCTCGGAGCCAGCAAACAAGTTCGCTAAGTGGTCCGCTTCACTGGTTCACTACATCGTTTAAAGTTTTTGTATCTTACAAGACGCAGTACTTTATTCAAATTTTGCAACTTGTAACCGTCTTTGAAAACTCGGAGGTGCTTTACAATTCTTTATTTTTATTTAATGTATATTTCTTTTTTTGACGTTCATAAGTGTACATTGTGTTACCTACAAGAATAAATGATTTTTGACTTTTGACTTTTACATCGAAATTGTTATTTAAGCGTAATTAAATTTTTACCTCAGCTAGTTGGATTTGGTTTTTTTTACATCAGTGAAGACTATAGTTAATATCCTAAATATATATTTAAATTTGTAAAGCATGCTTATATGATGGATTTATTGCAACACATTGGTTTCATTAGGAATATTGAATGAAACATTGTACACAATAGAATCAGTGATATGATTACACGGCTCGTAGAGTGGGAAGCCCGGTTACATCTCGGTAAAGGTAATTAACATTATTGCATATCATTACAATCGCACTGCCACTTATTTGCAAACACATCACGTTACGGTGTACACACATGATAAGTCTTTTAAAAAGATAATGATAAGAGCACAATAATTAAATTGTATAGTCAATTATTACATTGAAAACGAAGACTACAACATTAAAGCGTTAAAAATAATCTGTTAAATCATCTAAGTTCCTGACTTTACTTTTCTCCATCTTAACTATCAGATTATCACTAATTTAATTATATTTATCCTTATAAATGGTTTTAAGGATAAGAAACATAATAGCTTATTGGTTCTATTATTATTATAATTTTCAAATTGTTATTTTAGGTAATATTTATTTCCAACACACGGTATTTACAATATTCTTAACCTTAAGTAGGTAATAATAATAATCAAAATTAATAAATAGATAATTAAAGGTTTGGTGCCGATGGCAGTGTACCTTTAACGCTAACAGCATTTCCTCGCTGTATTGCGATACTTATTCGTTAAGCGAGGAAAGCACTAGCTCTGGGGTCACCGGTACTATCTACCAGGCGCCAACTTAAACCTCTAATTAGTGCCTGTTCACTTGAACCCCACCGCCTATAAGGAATATTGTTAATAAGTTTTCTTACACTTAAACGATTACTTTCACGCCATACTGTCATTATTGTCCTATTAATAGATGATTCGTAATAATGGCAGTATCTTCGTTTTATTTGTAGATAGTATAGCTAATACTACTATGAAGTATAACAAGAATCCAAATACATAGATAATATAGACTAATATAATTAAAGGTAAAGATTTTTTGTAAATTAACAACTCCAATCGTTTAAATTATCAAATTATTTATTCGTGTAACATGTTATAATGATGATGTCAAGATCTTATAATTTATGGTTTAATTTATCAAGGCCATAAGGGGATTTCCACAAAAAGATGTTATAATATAAAATAATAAGACAGAAAAATACATATTTTTAAACTTTATCCTTATAATTAACATTTATTGTCTTGTTATTCGTTATTGTATTGTTATTTGTTATTGTATTGATACAACTCTATAATAGGTTTGGGTAAATAGCGCAAAATCTTTTTATAATAATAAAGTTTCAAATGATACGGTATTTCTACTAAAGTATTTATTTCCATTTAATTATAAATTAAAACATCTTTTAAAATGCTATTTTTAAACGCGCGTATTTATTAACTGAAAGCAAAACAAAGAAATGACTGATTATAATTAAATCAACAAGTAAAGTAAAACAAAACAAAAGTTCGACGACTCATTGGTCTAGTGGTTAGTACCCCTAACTGCGAATCCATGGGTCCCGGGTTCGATCCCCGGCTGAGACGAACATCGATGTGATGAGCATTTGGTGTTGTGCTTAGGTCTTGGGTGTTTAAATATGTATTAATATGTCTATCTATCTATAATATGTATGTATATCCGTTGCCTAGTACCCATAACACAAGCTTCACCAGCTTAACATGGGACTAGGTCAATTGGTGTGAATTGTCTTTAAAAAATAAAAGAAAAAAAGGTAAAGTTACACTGCCACAAGGTTTACATTTGTTTATACATTATTATAACTGTGTAGGTTAAGAAAATTGTAAATACTGTATACTTGATTGTAAATAAAATTAATATAGCAAAAAAAATTAAATCAACACAAAACATACATTTTATGCATAACACAACAGCCTCAGCATGAAGCCTGCATTTCCAAGGCTGCAAATAATTAATTTTCAAGGGTCAGATTCAAGGCTAATGCAAAATAATCTTGATAATCCTACATATAAATGGTGAGACTTTTATATCAAATTTGAAGCTTTTATAAACAAAAAATTCACATTTAACTACAACATTTATATCTGAATAATAAAGTTAATTAAAATGGTTATCGGCTGGGCTACGGGATGGCGCGGAAATTTTTAAAAGGTCACAAGTATTTTTTTTATTTAAGATCTCGTGCACACATAAAAATTTAACATGGACTCAAAATATATTTTAAAAAAAAAAGAAGAAAACAGACGTCACTCAGACGGACTTTGAAGACAAGTGAATATATATATGTTTTTCTTCCTTGAGCGTTTCTATGTGAATATAAATTAATTACTCTTGTTTGTGAAGAATAAACCAATTAACAAAGATAAAAATGGGTTGTGATTTATTTCAAGATAGCACATCCCATAACTATTTTTAAGTTTATTTTACAAAATAATATAAATAAAATAGTATAAATAGGAGTTTCACCGTTTTGGCTTTTCGCGCCTAATAAATATTAAGCGGAAAAACGATAAAAACCTATTCGCTTGCAGCCTAAAAGCGCCTAATTTGAACTCGCAAAGATTTTAATTGCACTCACAAGTCAACATTGTTAACCCTTCTACTTCTTCAATGTTTTCATACTTTATATATTTTTTTACCAAGAATTATAATCGCTGTAGCGCTTTTGGATCCATAACCATAAATATTTGGAACATGTCTGTATGAATTAGGCCCTGAAAACGATAAAAACATAAGTTTTGTCCTTTGTTTACGCATGCTTATTGCTTAAGCTAAAACTAACAATACAACAAAAAAATACTATTAATTTGATTTGAAAATATAAAAAGACCGGCATCTTAGTAGATTCAGCCGTGAAAAGTAATAATCCTTTTCATCTTATCTAATTGGTTGGTAAAAATGTTTTGGACAAAACCCGAATACCCCAAATACTCGTCAAATACCCCATATCGTGCACAGACTAGCTCACCATAACTATTCTGGCCATAAATACTGTTACATAAAAACTTTTCTATTTTTCAACTTTTTAATTATTTTGAATTTTTTTTTGTAACACGAATATTATTTTTAAAACTTCTTTCCATTTTGCGCCATTTCACATATTTTTTTCGTAATGAAATTACAACAATGGGGTGTTAAAGAAAATAGGATTGCAGTGATCGCCTTGCACATAGTGGGTATCGTGTCGGTCATATTCCAGACACTTCAAAAGCATCAGCCGTATGTTCGTATATCTTACTATGAACAGATACAACAACACTTCGTCTATCGAAGACCAGAAAAGATCGGGGCGGCCGCGTTTTGTTAGAACTACAAAGGCTGTTAATGCTGTTTAAGCCAGAATTCGTCGAAACCCCATTAGGAAGCAAAGAATCTTATCGCGAGAAATGAAGATTCGCGTATTTTAAAACAAGACCTGAAGTTCGGTGCTTATCGTCGATATACAGGACATGACCTAAATCAATCTTTACAATTAAAGAGAGTGGATCGATCAAAACGCCTTCTGTCGCGGTAGGCAGGTGAATAGCACAGCAATATCCTCTTTACAGATGAAAAATTTTTCACGATTGAAGAATACTGCAATAAGCAAAATGATAAAGTGTACGCTCACAGTTCTAAAGAAGCGGCTCAAGTGGTTGGAAAGGTACGACGTGGTCATCATCCTGTGTCAGTGATGGTTTAGTGGGCCGTGTCTTATCAAAGAGTCACAAAACTGCATTTTTGCGAAAAAGGAGTGAAAACTTCATTCAAAGTGTATCTTGGATCATGTTGGGAAACCTCTAATGTTGCTACATTACACCTCGTAACTTTGGTCAGTTCCCACCTTTAGCAATACACTTTTTAAAAATATACCGTGGACTTTCCAGCAGGATTCTGCACCTGGTCACAAGGCACGAACTACCCAAGCCTGGCTTGAAACCAACGTCCGGAACTTTATAAGAGCTGAAGACTGGCCCTCACCTAGCACAGACCTCAACCCTGTAGACTTCAAATGTGGGTGAGTTTTAGAGGACATGGCTTACTCTGAACGAAACGGAGACTTTAAGTTTCTTAAAAAAGCAAGCAAGCTTTGGAGCAAGCAGTGGCGAAATTTCCCTTGGAAACAGTGCGTAAATCCATAGATTCGTGGCCAAACAGATTAAAGGCCAGTATAAAAGCCGAAGGTGGCCATTTCGAATAGAATATTTTTTTTATTTTTTGCTGAGACTTTAATAAATATGTAGGTGTAAATTTTAATAATATTACATTACTTCATTAAATAAAAATGCATTTTCATTTGTAACAGAACTTATGGCTGGACTAGGTATATATGTATCGAGTAAGTGATAAAAATTAATGTTGAATGGACGCAAATTATGCGCATATTAAGACCAGAAGGATTTATTTGTATGAAATAATACAATGAACATCAAAAAATATATTTCGTCTTTATGAATATTGTATTGTAAGCTGCGTTGTATGAGTCGTTGTGTTAGTCTGACGTTATCGCTAATTAATTATAACTCTATTTAAACTGCGCATCCACACTGTGGAAGAAACAAGTTATTCTATAGATCTACTCGTATAGTATGCATAGAATTACCTATACAAATCTATCATAGATAATCTTCATAAATCATGTTGTTGAAGAACAAACCGCTTGAATTCTTAATTTTTTTTTTGAGGTTTGGAGTTGGTTTTTGAAATAGTCGTGATATATTACGTTTCCATGTGTAATATTCTTTTTAACAAAATCCTTTTTACTTTTGCACGGAGCAAAACGTTACAGTTGCTAACAAAAGTCTAATAATCTTAAATCCATAATAAAAATAATTTCGTAGAAACTTGACCAACAGTGAGTTTTAGTATAAAGAACTTTTCTATAAACATTCACAAACCTTCGTTTATCTTTTTACTGATGATCCAACCTCTGCAAAGAATTACATTATACATTAAATAATATCTACAACATAAGACTTCATTCATTCGTACAAAAACTACAACGGTCTATAAGCGTGTGGTATAATAATAAAAACCCCTTAAGCAAATTATTTTAAACTTAAATTTGCAAGGGTTTCAAAAATTTACTTCTATTCCTTATATAATTAAACTAACCTGGACACGGTAAATGGTTTGCGAATCATCGCTTTTCATCTCCTTTACATCACTAATGTTTTTATCTGACAATAATAAGAGTATGGGAAAATCTTTTGCTCTTTCTTCTCTACCATTAGGAGCTAACAGGGGCGAGATGAGAACAAGTTCTTTATCTTCAACTTCCCCGTACACCAGCGATACGAACACTGTTAATACACACGATATAACGAATTTCATTGTGCTTATAATGAAACTTTTGCAGGATACTTTATTTATATGATTTGATTTGAATTGATGATCACGATCTAGTGTTCTTCCGTTTTAATTGACCTTAAAGTCTGAGATCATTGAGCGATTCATAATTATCTAATTAACTAATAGTGTATAAAGTTAATAAATTGAAATCTATATATATCAACATGAATTGCTGTTGGTTTTTCCCGCTAACACTCGAGGCCAAATCGGCTAATTATGATCTTGAAATATTTGTTAAAGTTCAGTGAATGTTTAAATGGTGGGAAACATGAATAATAACAAATAACGAAAGTTAAAGTTACTAAAAACGATAATTGAATTTTCCAATAAAAACAGTTTCTAGCTTAGCTAGTATTTGATGTCGTTTGTTTTTTAGAAATAAAAAAAATGTCAGTTGTTTGTCAAATATCTAAAGATGCCTTCAGAAATTTGTGTTTCATAGCTGTAGTATGAGGTCTGATCTCTTTGGTCTGTTTAAAAAAAAATATTACAAAACTTATTTGACACAAATCTATGTAGTTGATACAAAGTTCACCGGGTCATCTAGTGCTAAATTATATTAGCTAGTTTTAAATCGAATGAAAACAAGAACTTTTTGCGAAAAATACAAAAGGATATTTCTTGACAATAACTACTCATAATTATGAATATTTAAATAATATACTAATTAATTCATAAACAACAAAAAATAACAATAACTAAAATATATTATTAAAAGGAGCCTCTTTCGACTAAATATATATGGGATTAACTTAGTAGGAACTATGTTTTCATAAGCTTTTGATGTATGTAACCTGAGTGACCATGAAATATATCGCCATATATGTATATCACGCCAGTTTAATGTAAAAAATATAGATAAACACATAGTTTTTTAAATATGTTATTTATTTCCATTATATTATACAATAGTACAATAGTTACAATGCAGAAATATACTAAATTCATTTCCTTATTTATAAATTTTAGCTATTATAACAATTTTAGCTAACTTACAAAACTTTAACACAAAATGAAACTATATCTATAATAAAGCGTCTGAGATTAATGCGGTGTCAATTTTATTCATATAAACCTCACAGCATTTGGAGATAAATAAACATGACAAGCATTCTTTAACTAACCTACGTTTATACGACCAAAATCAATTATGGTTAAATAACTTTATAAAATACCGCCGTAATGTTTCAATCTTTATAGTATGAATAATACTATGACTGCATCAGTAATAATCTAAAACAACCTTGAACAAACTTGAGTTGCCGGTATTTATAGGATTCCCAACAGCTAGAAATTATATAATACTATATACATAAACAGCCGTATTCATAATCAACTATAACATTATCTTTCACGATGGATTAGCTTATTATTATAGGGGTTAAAGAACTGTACATCGGAATCTAAAGACAAAGACATACAAAGTAAATATAGCGGTGAAGGACCTTAAAGAAAAGAAAAAGTTAAGATATCTTCGTCTTTATTGCATATGTTGAGTAACAGTTTAACTCGTAAGGAATAATTACTTTAAGCTCGGCTAAATGACTAAAATTTCCTAAGGTCAATTAGAATATAGAAAAGTAAGAATACATATAAAATCACAGCGTAAATTACCTTAAGAGCAAATCCATGAGGTTAACATTTCCTGAAGTAACCTGTTGAAGGAAAAAGTAGAAAAGGTGCTATGGTGGCTTTCACGTCCACTGTTTGACCTCCATCCCTCAACTCTCCAATCCAATCGGTTCCAACTGGTAAAATAAGTTCCAGCGGAGGTACGGGCAACGTTGTTTGAAACATTGATTTGGTGTTAACTACTGGTGTTGGCACAATCAACTCTGTTGTTACCTCACTATTGGTTCTCACCCTTGCTACTTGTATAACCCTCGTTGGTTCGCTTGTAAGAAACGCTGGATCTAAATTCGCCTGTGCGGGTCGCGTGATTTGGCTATTATCAATGGTTGCAGCAATTGGCGCACTAACTACGGTTTTCTCTATGTTTTTCATGTTAAATTCCCCTGTTCCTTCTTCCTCTGGTACCAGAACTGGAGTGGGAGCCACAACAAATTTTCCTTGTAATTCCACGATTTCATTAGGTTTTATTGTCTTCGAAGAACAGAAAGTATAAAATACCATACATATAAACAAAACTAAAAAACAAGTTATTTTAACCATTTTCGATTGAGAGCAAGAAACACGAAGGATTCGTAAGATTGTTGTACGTGGAATGACCGGTGGCTCGTTGGCTATTTTGTTAATTAATTAACTTGTGACAATTGTAAAATATCCAGCTTATTAAAACTTACGTCTAGTTTGCCATGAGTATCTTAATACATAACATATCACCAGTCTGATCTAAAAGAAGTGTTCATTCTGAACTAAAGCATCGCAGCGACACGACGTGAATACCATTAGAAAAATTAAAATAACATAATAAATAATAATTCCTAAATAATAACAATATTTAAAAATATAGTTTAATGTTATTATGCTGCGATGTTTAATACATAAAGTGTTATTTTTATTAAGGCATCTTAGTTTCCAGTCACACACGAGAAATAAAAAGTATGCTATTTTACTAAAGGTCAAAGTCTTAACCGGTTTAAACGCTTATGACGTCTTATAATTTTAATATTTTGAAGTGGTTCAATGATATGAGCTAAGTTTAGAGCCAACAAAATTATGTTAGTAAAAAAATTACGTTGTTTAGCCGTAACTAACTAATGTATTTACTAAATCAATAATAATATATATTGTATATACTTAATCTGGCCATAAATACTGTGACAATTAAAAAACAATACATTTGAATTAGGAATCTGTAATTTTTATATGATTGTTCATTGAGTTTTCTCATTTTGGCGCCAATACATTGTACAGATACCGGAAAATTTCTTGAGCATTAAACAAGGGAGTGCGGGAAAGTTTGCGCATCATCGTCATACGAGCAAAAAAAGTGTCTATTTTATTTAACAGTAGAATACTTTTTACGTAGATAACTTTTAATAATAGTTAGTTTTAATTTTGGTAGATTTTTAGTGTATATCAGATATTATTGAGAGTTGTTATATAATATATATAATTTTACTACCTTCTAAAATATGATAACAAGAAAGGAAATCCGGCCAAGTGCGATTCAAGCCATACCAGGAAAAAAAATGAAAGAATATATTTATTTATGAATTTATTAATAATACATCCCTCCTCTCAGAACAAGAGGGCTTGGGCCATAGTTCCCACGCGGGCCCAGTGCGGATTGGAAACTCCACACGCACCATTGAATTGCTTCGCAGGTTTGTGCAGGTTTCCTCACGATGTTTTCCTTCACCGCAAAGCTCGTGATAAATTTCAAATGTTATTAATAATGATTGTAGAAAAAATATTTAAATAATTTAATCATCATCTAAAAAAGATATTCCTTCCATTAGCTCATTAGCAGAGCTAGTACTTAGTCTCGGTTCAGGGAGATGGAGTTAACTTGATGCTCATTATCATCCCTAAAACATTCCGTACGATTGGCAGTGAAGAATTTTCCCATAGAAAGAGTGCGTGCTTCTATTGATAACTGGCCTCAACGTTTAAAGGACTGTATTGCAGCCAATGGAGACTACTTCGAATAAGCTTTTTATATTTTGAATTGTTTTATATTTAAATATTAAACTAACACACTGTAAAAGTAATAAATGTTATTTGCAATAGAATTTTTTTCTTCTTTGTTTCAGTATTTGTTGCAAGACTAGGTAATATATATATGTAGGACATAAGTAAGGCGTAACATTAGACAACTTGATACCTTTATACCAAAACGGTCTTTAACACACAGCCAAGTTTTAATCAAACTTTGGTCTCAATCATACAAAATATTTCTCATGCCACAACTACATGATAACGAAAATATATACCAAGTTGGAATCGTATATTTAAAGTAACGAATAGTCTAAATATAACATGGTGTTGATTTCACAACCAGAAGTAATATTAGGCTTTGTATAACTTACAGGTCATTTGTAATCAAGTCCACGAGTGGGACATTTGCGTGAGTCATGGGTTAGACCAGTTCCTTGACTGTCAAGACAAAACATGACCAACAACTTATCATTTCAAAATTGTGAATGTATCAAAACAATAATGCCTAACGATTTTACGTCTCTAAATATGCTCACATTTAGAAATATTAGTACTACTCTTCCAATTAATTTAAAACTGATTTACGAATAGTGAAAAGTTTGTAAATTTTGCGTGACCAGGGGAGAGAGTGAATGAAGATTAAAAGCTGGCATTAATTGTTTCCTTGCAGGTATAACCTACACTCATTGTAGTTAACAAAACTGTAAATACTACTCGAAATAATTGTCAGTCACCTGCCAATGATAAATGTGTGCTTCATCATACTCAGTAGAATAAAACATTATCCTATAACAAATTATGTTACCATTACATTATTAAGGAAAAAATAAACTCCTGGCAGCATTATTAGACCTAAGTATCACTCTCGGTATTATTATTCGCTGACAGTTTTGAGCAGGCGTTTATGGCTGGCACCTAAAACCGAAATTCCTATAATCGAGGCAGTAGCATTAAAATAAATTTTACTATAATTTAACTAAATCACTGATTTGTTTCTTTTCGACATATTTAACATAATTTTTCAGAAAAACTCAAATGAGTACATGAGTACAGCTTTACATCATTAGTTCATTCATGGGTTAGTTTTTATGAATAAGATCACATAATAAGAATGTTATTCGTAAACTTAGGTTGTTAATTTATCTAACATTTACTCAAGTATATAGAAGTAGTGTCATCTCAAGGTGATCCGAACGTCACGACAGTTTTTTTTTTCATATTTACCCTTTGAAAATTACTCGTTCACTGAAGTAAAACATCGTTAGGAAACCCGCATGTCGTAGACCTAAAAATCAATAATGTTAAAAGGAAACATATTAACAAAAAATATGTGAAAATATGTCTGCCTCATTAGCGGTAAGGGGATGTCATACTGTGTTAATATTAAAATATCCTAGTCCTCAGAAGGACGGGTTAAAATATAATATTAAAAATAAAAAACCAGTGGCGCTACAACCTTTTTAGGTCTGGGTCTCAGATTTCTGTGTCTGTTTGATGATAATTTGTCAATATAATAGGCTAGTAGAGGATCAGCCTCCTGTGCCTGGCGCACGCCGTCGACTTTTTGGGTCTAAGGCAAGCCGGTTTCCTAACGATGTTTCCTTCACGGTTCGAGTGAATATTAAATGCGTATAGTGAAAGAAAATCCATTAATTCACAGCCGGGAATCGAACCTACGACCTCAGGGATGAGAGTCGCACGCTGAAGCCAACACTGTAAGCAAAATATATTATTAGTAAAGTTTTATTAGGAAGAAATCTCATACAGTTATTTCAGGGTAGACACACAAACATAGAGACAAAACTTAATAACTTACTGACATAATAAATGCTAATGCGATAGATATATATATAGATATAAGCTATAACACGATCACAATCATACTTAGATATTGTAAAATAAGAATAAAAGTAACACTGATTCTAGTAGAAATGCTTTGTTAACCGCTTATTTATTTCTTGCTTATGTGTGTACAAAGCATGCATTCAACAATTAGTATATTATTTAAGGACATATCGTCGGACTAAGAAGGACCTAAGCGAGCGCCAAGTGCTCGATGTATGGCAAGCGGTAGCGCGCAATCGGCAAAGACGTTCTCTAGTTCCAGAGGCCTAGGCTAACTTTGGGTCGCTGCGACAGCGGAGTAAGTAATAGACCAGACTGGACACTTTACTGGAATTCCACTGTTTGACCTACACAAAACCAGATGTAGGCATATAAAATAAGAGATATTTCAAAATCAAAATTAATTTATTTAGACGTTGTATTGGCGAGAAGGTGAAAACATTTACTTGTATTTGATAGACCAGATATATTACAGATATATTTTATAACTCAGACTTTTACGCTTATATTACAGAATTTTCATTTTATGTACATAGAATTTGAAATAACAATATAATAAAAATATAAGAAAACATTTGTACCTTTGAATATAATAATATTAAGTCCCTAATTCATGGCAATGCCAAGATAACATAATTATTTTCGTACATCTCAGGTAATATAACAATTAGCACGGTCGTAAGACTGTTCTGGACAACTGGAACTTGTGCTGAGAATAAAGTGAAATTATTGTAGACGTCAAGTATAGGTAAACAATGAATTTAGAGTTATGCAATATGCATGTCTCTCTCAACTTGAAATTCGACCGTGATTAAAATACTTTCTATTGTGTTTTTTAATCTTTTTGGATTACATTGATCTAAAGTTTATAATTCTTAGAAATAGTAAGTCGTATGGATTATGAGAGTTTCAAAACCGTAGGTTTTATCATGTATGTGGTGATAAGTTACATACAATATAGATGATTGTATACATCTGTATGAAATCATTATAAAAGTTACCTGATATTTACCGCTAAACCGATATTGATACATTTTGGTATAAAGATTTATTGGAGCTTAGAATTTGAAATAGTTTGTCAACTTTCATTAAGATAAATCTGTGAGAAATAAATCGAACTTTGAAGAACTACGATATCGTCACTATAATAAATTAAATATACAAATTTGTATAACCTACTTTGTTAATACTAACAGAAATTAACTTTGAGCAATAATTATTATTACATATAGTATTAAAACCTTAAAAATTTCACAAGTTCATCATCGAGTCGATCGAATCTTCTTTCTAATAGAATTTTGTTCATGATCTAAGTAATAAAGATTAGTACGTTAACGATAGACTTTCAACACTTTCACTAGCAACGGTGAAGTCGTTTCTGGCAACCGAGCACTGCAGCAACTGCGACGCACAATAGTACGGCATGTGTTGTTTCGCTGTAGTTAGTAGCAGCCGCACTGCGAGACAGTGTCGCTGCCATCTTGTCACCTGAAATCATTAAAATATTTGTTAGATATTAGATACAAAAAACACGACCCTGATTTCCATATAACTATTTAGCAAGCGGCCGGATGGAATGTCGTTGATCCCTTGGAAGATGGGACGGGCTTTGGTATGGGATGCTACTTGTGTGGACACGTTTGCCCCGTCTCACCTCCTTCGGACAAGCACAAAAGCTGGGGCGGCCGCAGAGCAAGTAGAAAATAATAATCGGCACAAATATAAAGAATTTCTCCTCCATCTTCGATTTTGTTCCCTTTAGAGTAGAGACTCTTGAGTCGTGGGGTTCAAGTGCACAGGCGCTTATTAAAGATTTAAGTTGGCGCCTTAAGATTTAAGTTAGTACCGGTAATCCCAGAGCTGGTCCTTTCCTGGCTCAACGTATAAGTATAAAAATAAAGCGAGAAAATGCTGCCAGCGTTAAAGGCACCAAACTTTTTAAATTTGTTTTAATTTTCTTTTTAAAATAATGTTAATATTACTTGTAGGTTAAGAAAACTGTAAATACAAATTATACGTATTAAGCTTTTTTAGAATTTAAAATTAATTTTTTGTTGCAGCAGTGTTATCATTTTATGTTTGACGTTTATAATGTTTGCAAAAAGCCTTTAGAGTGACAGAAAGCCAAAATGTATTTATTAACTTACTGCCTTCGGAGACATAGAGGTAGATGTGAGCGGGCTCAGCATTGGGCGCCCGACAGGAGTAATTTCCAGAGTGATCGGGACGCGCGCGGTGTACACTGAGCGTTGATTGCGTACGCGAACCACGCGTTGCTGCGGCCGTTTGTACAGATACGCCACGCGCTGCGTCATAGTTAATCATTCTGGCGTTGTGGTACCAAAACACGTACTGCGGCGGCTCAGGGCTGTTTTCGATGAGGCACACAAGCCGCACTGCCGAACCTGCATCTACATGCAGCTCCTCCGCGCCCAAAATCAGTGCCTCGGGCACCACCACTTGAAGGTGCACCTGCCGCGAAAGTGCACCATTGCTGGATGAAACTTGGCACTCATACGTGCCATTGTCTCGCTTTTGTACGTATTTGATTTGCAGCACCCAGTCCTCGGAACCTTCGCGATGCAGCACCTGAAAGCGCTCGTCGTTGGTGTACACAAAGGCACCGGAACTAATGATATGCCAGTCACGTCGGCGCACCCAAGACACCTGTCGTTCAGCGAGGTGTCGCACCGGGCAGTGCAAGAAAGCTACTGAGCCAAGTTGTGCGCGTATTGTTTCGGCTGTGGCATTAAGCTCAGGCTCACGCCGCAGGGCTTCTAGCGAAGCTTGCCATAGCTCACGCCAAGCGGGTGCATTCTCTGCTGCTAGAGCAGCCTCCGCTGCTGCTGCTTCAGCTTCACTCGGTTCTCCTATCCGCAATTGACCTACGCCGAAGCTGGACGTCGCCGTTTCCCAATCCACGCCGCTTTTTTCTGCATAAAATAAGAAACATCATGTTTTAGGTACTCGATGAAAAATAAATGGTTGTATTAACGGAGAATTCGTACGTGTAGAGGGCGAAAGCAGCGCGGCGAGCAGCGCGACGAGCAGTGCTGGCGCCATCAGTGCCGCCACACGCTGTCGCGCCGTCGCCGCCGCCGTTTGCGTGATCTGTAACAAATTTAATGCTATCGTAAGAACCAAAACGGATCGATATATATCTACAGGGTCAGATATAGTTTACCTTATATTATATATTAGGAATCTACTATGATTTATGAACATAAAAAACTTTTATTTATTTAAGTTATAACGTTTAATATTCATTTTATTTTACCACAATATACTCAATAAGTTAGTCCGGGTGTACGATAGGCTAAATATCTAAGGTATTTTTTTCAAATAGGTTTGGTAACCACACACACATATCGGCAATATATTTGTCAAAAACTTATATAGTTTTAGACGCATGAACTATATGTCACGTGAAAGCATTGAAATTTGTGCCCTCAGTTCATTGGGTATGGCTTATAAATCCATTTATGAAAACTTTTATCTTAACCTAAGTAAATCATATTATAAATATAACGGCATATATGTGGTGATAGGATGAAGGATAACGGGATAAGAGGATACATCCCAAAGAGAAAGTTTTCGGTTCAAAATCCAAAGGGTATAAAGTAAAATCTATTACGATTATCAGCTACATATATCTACATAATCCCAAGTGGGCTAGCGCATACGAATCAAATGTGTCGAAAATTCATTTGAGACAACTCCTCGGTTACATGCAGAGTGAGAAAAATAGAAAGCATAGTAAACAATAGACAACCACAAAACATAATTATTAATTTTATTAAAATTTTAATAATTTGGGAATGTAATAGGCCATAATTTTAGACCTCAAAATTAATCATTTTAGACCTCGTTATCAGAATTTTTACCAGAGGCATGTGTACTTAAATTCCTTAATATGTCATGAGGATTAAATATTTGTAAATAGTGTTATGTGTGATCTTAGCCTATACCATTACATTTAGCAAACCGTTTATTGTTAATGTTTAAACATGTTTTAGTATCTCTATTTCTTTGAGATATATATTTAAACCTCGGACCCCACAGACGTTGTCCTGCATCATATTTCAAGCGATTATGATATTAAACAATGTATGAAAGTACCGACTGCATCACCATCTGCAGGGCTGATTTGTGAATCTAAACCACCCAGGGCTCCACCCAAACGTACAAAAAAAATCATTCGGATCGATCCAGCCGTTTAAGTAGCGTTCGGTGACATACACACGTACAGTTGAATTATATATATATACTATCTTTATGTTATATTTTAGATCAAACTGCAGACGGTGAGCATATTTGATTGAAATTGGTTAAGTAGTTTAGGAGTCCATAGCGGACAAACAACGTGACGCGTAATTTATATATATCAAGATAGTATTTTAACAGTCTTGCTTTGGATAGTAAATTGACACAGAAATTAATTTTTGTTTGTAAAATTTTTTTTTTCAGCCCCAGAAACTAATAAGTCATGAAAACGCTTCGATTTGCAAATGGAGATTTACTAAGCGCTTGCTTGATACAAGCGCGAATGGTCCGGTCAATATAGACATTTGAAATAACAAAAATTCCCGGAGAGCCAAATTTTGGTGGAGAGGGTTTACCATTCAAAATAAAGCTAACCGTTTTCGAGAAAAATTCAAAAAAAATCTTAAACTTTGACCTTTGACCCCTAATAACTTGTAGCACACATAGGATCGATGGGGATTTTTAAAACTTTATTTTTAATGGTAAACCCCAGCTCTCCACCAATATTTGGCTCTGTGGGAATTATTGTTATTTAACCACAATTTTTGTGTCTAAATTGACCGGACTACAAAGTTCGCCACGAGCAATAATAGTGAAATTATTTATTGTGTTGCATCTTATATTTGTAGTGTTATTACTGACCCGAACTTGTATGTGCTAATACTAATTTATTATTTGATTATTAAAGCGAATTACGACTGACTAATGTCAATGAAGTCAAAATATTAAATAGCTCTTTTATGTTCTGTGTGGGAAATTATTTTAGTGTTATTTTTATTCATTCAAAATAGGTATCTCGCTTATACAAAATTCGTTTAGCCGATATCAAAACCAATTCGATTTAGATTTTATACGTTTTAAAGTTAAAACTAACATTTCTGTTTATATGGCTCCACGTAGAATAAAATACATTTTAAAATAAAAAACAAACAGGTTCTTATTCAAATTAATTAGTGTAATAAATTATCCGCATATAAGTAATAGATGCCGTCGACGCAAATTAGCAATTTTACCGTAACTTATCTATTATCTATACTTTTTTTTTATTTTAAGCAGTCTGGAAATATTAAGTATATAAGGAATAATTTCGACTCCATATTTTCCTTACTACGATAAATAACTAGAATTTCCATTTATAGATTTAGCTTTTTAGAATAATATATTTCGATTAAAACATTCTAATATACCGGCCACTAATTGGATATAAAACAAGTAAAATTTATAACAAATTAAATGAAATACTCTTTCACAAACTACTGATACATTTAGTGACACGTCTTAGATATCATTTCTAATTTTGAATTAACCATTATCAAATAATCGAACAAACATCTACTTATTCAACCTAAGAATTCAACAAGTAATAATTCGACACATAATATTGTTTCCTAAAAAGGCAGCCCACTTAACTATATGACGTAAAAGTAACTGAACGAGAGCATTACGCTCATTAGCACTAAGATACGTTGAAAACAATTGAGGTTTCGTTAAAAACTTCATCTATTTCTTATGTCTTCGTAATCGTTGATAACTTTAATAAAGGTGTATCATAATTTTTAAAACATAAGGAATTTCTATAGAAATATGAAAAGGTAAAATAACGAAAATATATATTAATTCAATTTTTCGTTTAAGTTAAATAGTCTTGGATACCATTAAATCGATTGAATAATCTTTGGAACACTTTTTGCTACAATCCTGTAGTTTAATATTATTGCAGGTCTTTAAAATTATACCTGTGATTATAATATAGTTATATATAGTAAATACATATAAGAAATGGTGGACCGGTTTGTGTGGAGTAGAGTTGAGCTCAGAATGCGCTATTGGCGCGGAGGTTGGTCACTGTAACACATGTCTCACTAGTCACTACAAAGGCGACCGCATGCAAGCGCGCGCCGCGACTCACTGACGCCTCGCGCCTCCCGCCCCGCGCATCAAGGCCTTAGCCGTCTTAACTATTAATACTATGATAAAATATCGGATTTGCTTACAGCCAAGCTAGCCATTCTAAATCATAATAATTGTTTGTATTCAGAATTAATGCTTAACTTTTGCTAAACACATGCTAGCCAGTATATGAAATGATAAGAGGAGCTCGCAACAATGTAGCGAGTAGAGCTAAGATCTACATTCTACGCCATATAAGCAAAATTTACGTTTCCTCACTAACGCCCATGTTCATGTTAATGGCATTTACTACATTCTTGTTTCGTACAAAATGAAACAAGGGTAAATCACTTTATTTTAATGCTAAAATACGTAATACTGTGTTAATGTAAAATGGTTCTACTTTTAATAACGTTTTTTCTCTTATTACTTTCTACAAGTCCTTCTCTAAGAAGGTGGGTTATCCTAGTAAAGACAATAAATAAAACGTAGTTAAATATGTTTGCATAATCTTATTTGGATTAAAAGATTTGAGTATGCCTCAGTTTTAAAACAAAACAAACAAAAGTTAGCTCTTAATAACTTCGCTTTTTCTCTTCGCTCGCAAATTATTATGCTTATGTGATTTACATATACTTCGATAACCCTGGCACATCAGCGACTTTATAAATTAAAAAAAATATAACAATTATATTTTTATACTATTTTCTCACGTGGTCACTGCTCGACAGCATAGCACGGCGGTTATCAAAAACCCAAACTAATGTTTTAAATGTGTAAAAATATAGAATGTTAAAATGAGCTATTTCTGATATCGTAGCAGTTCGTAGAAGTCTAAGGTAAAAGTCACGTAGCACCCAGAGTTGTCACGAAGCGCAAAGCACGTGTCGAATCATTTGCTGCATCGATCACACGTTCATGTGCTCAATCGGCTGTTGAGTGCTCAGATATAACTGTATCTCTTAACTCTAGTGGATATTATTTTAAAATAGTATAATACTGCATATAATATGCCTTTATAGATATTTAGTCAGAATATCTAACCAATAAAAGTTTGTAGAGGGCGAATGAAGAGATATTAAATATCTTATGTCAAATTCATAATTTTATATGTAAAAACGGTGCCACGACACGCTACCAAAATTATCTATCTATATCTTGTAATTTAGTTACAACGGCAAAAAAAAAAGATAAAATTATAGGGCAGTAGATTATTTTTTTTACGTTTCGATTGTATCTACGATAATTTTATTCACCTGAGACTAGTAGTAGTAGTAGTAAAAATTTAAGTTGTCATTAAACTAAACAAATCGTTTTGGAACACAGAATATTTTGTGAGAAGTGTCATATATCGCGCGGCTGTAGATTACATATACCGAAGTCGGGTGCGGGTAGGGGGTATGTGACGGGGGGACACGCGGGTGATTGATAAAATTTCATTAGAGCGACGCGAGCTCGATTATTTATCTGTTCGTAGCGAAACATTTATATGTCCGCCAGTACAGCCATAAAATATATGGCTGTACCTCGTTGAGCGAGTGTGGACTGTACCGGCCAGTGTCCTCTGCCAGCGCTGCGACAACAAAGTTACTGATAACACCCGATCGCTCCGTTATCCGTTTCGCTTTTAATTAACTTTCCGTCGTTTTCATTTATTCAAAATGTCGTAATATTTCGTAAACATATTACGCGATGCCAGTATTGTATCATCCCAAACTCATCTCGTATTTTGAATCCGGAGAAGGAACGTGATTGAAAAAGTGAAAGACATGTTTATTATAACTTGTGACATATTGATAAAGGTAGACGGCTGCCGTCTCTTGACGTAACACATAAATCGATATTGTTTACGAATGTTGTATATTGTCTTTATATGCAATGAAAAAATAATATTAAATATCAAATTATTA